GCCCTCTGAAATGAGAACAGGAAAACAGACAGATATGTGGCTAATTTCATTCTAGTTAGGAAAGGAAAATGGGGAATAGATCCTCCTTATGATCTCAACGCCCACAGGATTCTCATTAGAGAGAGAGATGATTGGGGCTGGTATCACTTGAGGGACAGCACACTTCAGCTGAGGAAACACCTTCATAGGGACTTCAGGAATTGAACCCACACTGTTGGCACCACTAACCAGCCAACTGAGCTAAGCAACCCATTCACACAGTATATATATGTTCACCTGTTTGTTGATAACATTTTGGTGAGGAGAAGAGCTGAATGCATATGCTTTATCATCTTTGTGATTGATTCCTTTCTTGATTGCTAAATAAACGTTGATGTTTGGTAAATAAGTTGTACACGTGAAGTACACTTACGTGTTTGTGAAGAAGCTATTTTCTAAACACACTGCAGAAGGCTAAGGCTGTGTTAGTGCACCCATATCTGTGGCTAGTTCATAATTACTATTGGGTAACACCATACTCAATCAGAGCAGCTGGCTCCATTTCCCATTCCTTTACTTGCCCTGAATTGGCTTATTTCATTCAGGCTGCCAATGTTAGAAATAACCTTATGTCTCCCCCAGGGGGAGATAAAGACGCCATGCTGCCCCTTTTAAGTACATGCCCCTGGAAAAGGCATTGCCCATCTGCTATTTGTATTGGAAACCATGGAAAACCAACTGTATGTTCCCAAATTGGTAGTTGGCGCACAAGGCAACACACACTTGAAATATCATCCCTCCTACGTCTGAGTTCACACCTGATGGGAGTGCTGAGCAATGCACCCCTCCAGCACTGAATGGGTGTACAGCAATACTGGGAGTGGCAAAACGGGCTGCACATAGGCAGTGGTCCCTTTAAGGGATTGCACTGGACTCCAACTTTCAATGGGACGTGTAGTGCACCAAATAGGTGATCAAACGGAAATTAGAGGAAACACTGGCCCTGAGGACAGCTGATAACTGTGGAACTGAACTCCCAGGCGACATGATTGATGGGGAAAAACAAAAACCCATTTATTGATAACTTATGGCTTGTTCATGCTGAATCTTCTCAATCCCACTATGGCATGTGGGCAGAAGTGAATTTTATGTTTGTGTGGCTGAATTCATTAAGGGCATGGATGGACTTTGTTCTCAACATTCCTGTAAATTCTGGAATGTTCCCACTAGAGGGAATGCGATGTTTCAAGCGATTATTATATCTCCATGTCCAATCAATCAGACCCAGATGGAATGAAAACCGTACGTCAGTTAAAGTAGCAATTACACTAATCATTGAGTTGTGGAATGCATTAGAAGGATCCTAACTGCCGATTGCTGCAGATTTTTTTTTGTGGGATGCTATAGATGACAAGAAAATCTAAGGCAGATTGGGAGACCTCCCACTGTGTCACACCAAAAAGAACCCATTTATTTGAGGATGAGATGCATAGCCAATTGGACTCAGGATTGACACCTCTGAACCTGCAATCAAATCCAATCCAGTTTGACACATTGAAAATCTCTTCTTTGTCTTCATTACAGGCAATGAATTTATGGCGGTTGCAAAGCAGCCCTTAAACTGAGATTGGTTCAGTAATGGCTCACAGACAGATCTCAAGAAAGCTCGGTTGAGGAAAGAACAAAAGTCACACAAGTTCAGGAGAAGACTGGTTGCCTATGGTTGGGCCAGAGGACTTAGCCATATATAGTCATAGAGATGTACAGCATGGAAATATACCCTTCAGTACAACTCTTAAATTAATCTACTCCCATTTGCCAGCATTTGGCCCATATCCCCCCAAAACCCTTCCTATTCATCCAGATGCCTTTCAAATGTTGTAATTGTACCAGCTTCCACCACTTCCTCTGGCAGCTCATTCCATACACACACCACCCTCTGCATGAAAAAGTTGCCTCTTAGGTCTCTTTTATATCTTTCCGCTCTGACCTTAAACCTTTGCCCTCTAGTTTTGGACTCCTCTCCTCTGGGAAAAAGACCTTGGCTATTCACCCTATCCAGAACCCTCAAGATTTTATAAAGCGCTATAAGGTCACCCCTCAGCTTCCAACGCTCCAGGAAAAAAATACCCCAGCCTATTCAGTCTCTCCCTATAGATCAAACCTTCTAACACCAGCAACATCTTTGTCAATCTTTTCTGCACACTTACAAGTTTAACATTTTTCTATAGCAGGGAGACCAGAATTGAATGCAGTATTCCAAAAGTGACCTAACTAATGTCCTGTATAGCTGCAACATAACCTCCCAACTCCTACACTCAATGCACTGACTACTAAAGGCGAGCATGTCCAATGCCATCTTCACCAAATAAAAACCAAAAAGAACTGCAGATGTTGTAAATCAGAAACAAAAACAGAAATTGCTGCAAAAGCTCAGCAGGTCTGGCAGCATCTGTTAACATTTCAGGTCCGGTGACCGGGTTCTGAGGAAGGGTCGCCGGACCTGAAATGTTAACTTTGATTTCTGTCCACAGATGCTGCCAGACCTGCTGAACTTTTCCAGCAATTTCTGCTTTTGTGCCTCCTTCACCACCCTATCTACCTGCAATCCCACTTTCAAGGAACTGTGAATCTGCACCCCGAGTCTCTTTGTTCAGCAATACTCATCAGGAACCTACCATTAAGCCCTTTTCTGAAGAAGGGTCCAGACCCGAAACGTCAGCTTTCCTGCTCTTCTGATGCTGCCTGGCCTGCTGTGTTCCTCCAGCTCCACACTGTGTTATCTCAGACTCCAGCATCAGCAGTTCCTACTATCTCTACCATTAAGTCCAGCCCTGGTTTGCCTTCCAAAATCCAACACCCCACAGTTATTGAGATTAATCTCCATCTGCCACTCATCAGCCCATCGTATTTTGAAGTGTCCATTGTTTCTTAGACGACATAATCAAGAATTAGTTCCTATTTTTCAATCACAGTCAGAAACACTGACCCGAGTCACAAACAGAGTGATTCATTAACACTCTCTTCTCGAGTCTGAAGTGTAAAGCTGTTAAATATAAGCCAGTATTGTTTTAAAGGACCAGTCATTCCTATCACAGTAATGAAGGTAACAATGTATACAACCGCTTTATGCATCATGAATAAGGTACTCAGCATTTCTGTAAAATTTCATAGAAATTTGTAAAATACTGTTTATCAGAGACCAAAAGAGCTTCCACTTATTTGCCTTCATATGCAAACTGCAATTCCTGAACATTGACCACCACCAATGGTCTCTTGATGCTGAAGTAAGGAAACTCACTTCAGTATCACTTCCTCAATTCAGCAATGAAAGGTTGGGAGGAAATCCCAATGCGAGAGGATCTGTACATTGTTGTCACCAATAGTCTTTGTTCTGATGAAGCTCAATTGAAGAAAAGCATCCTGTCTTTATATTAGGGATAGTAAGAACTGCCGATGCTGCAGTGAGAGATAACACAGTGTGGAGCTGGAGGAACACAGCAGGCCAGGCAGCATCAGAGGAGCAGGAAAGCTGACGTTTCGTGTCGGGACCCTTCTTCAGAAATGGGGGAGGGGGAAGGGTGCTCTGAAATATATAGAGAGAGGAGGGGTGGGGCTGGGGAAGGTAGGTGGGATGGTGATAGGTGAGTGCAGGTAGGGAGTGGTCACCACAGCGTAGGTGCTCCACAAAGCGGTCTCCGAGCCTCCGCTTGGTCTCACCAATGTAGACGAGGCCACATCGGGAACAGTAGATGCAGTAGACCACAATAGCGGATGTGCAGGTGAACATCTGTCTGATGTGGAAGGTTTTTTTGGGTCCTTGGATGGGGGTGAGGGGGCAGGTGTAGGGGCAGGTGTAGCACCTCCTGCGGTTGCAGGGAAAGGTGCCGGGGGTGATGGGGCTAGTGGGAAGTGTGGAGCGGACGAGGGAGTCGCAGAGAGAGTGGTGCCTACGGAAGGCAGATAAGGGTGGGGAGGGAAATATATCCTTGGTTGTGGGGTCAGATTGCAGGTGGCGGAAGTGGCGAAGAATGATACGTTGAATCCAGAGCTCTGTTCGCGACAAACGACAACACCTTCCAGTCGCGAACCACTTCAACTCCCCCTCCCACTCCCTGGACGACATGTACATCCTGGGCGTCCTCCAGTGTCACCATGACGCCATCCAGAAACTGGAGGAGCAGTCCCTCATATTCCACCTTGGGAGCCTACAACCCAATGGTCTCAATGTGGACTTTACTAGCTTCAAAATCTCCCTACCCCGGCCTCATCCCATGACCAACCCTCCCTCACATTCCCGTCTCCTTGACCTGTCCGTCTTTTCTCCCACTTATCCGCTTCTCCCACCTCATTGACCAATCCCCACCACTGCCTACCTGCACTCACCTATCACTATCCCACCTACCTTCCCCAGCCCCACCCCTCCTCTCTCAATTTATTTCAGAGCTCCCTTTCCCCTTCCCCATTTCTGAAGAAGGGACCCAACCCAAAACATCAGCTTTCGTGCTCCTCTGATGCTGCCTGGCCTGCTGTGTTCCTCCCGCTCCACACTGTGCTGTCTTTATATTAGTCACCTTCCAGTTTTCTGGACTTGCTGGGGAGGTGCTGGCATTGTGGTAACATCACTGATAACTTCAAAGAAGAGTCTTATCCGGCTGGATATGTTAATTCTGTTTCTCTCTCTACAAATGTTGCGCCAACCTGCTGAGTTCCTTCGATACTGTTGATATTTCCAATACCAGCATCCATTTATGATCAGGCTAAATCTCAGCTTCAAATTCCGAAGTGCCAGCTCTTGGTATTTAAATACCATTAGGTAAAGCTGAAAGCTAGTCCCAGGAACAGTACCATGAATGTGTTAGCAGCTGTTACAAAAACCCATTTGGCCTCAAGGGAAGAAAACCTGCCATCTTTACCTAGTCTGGCCTACATGTGACTCCAGGCCCACGGCAATGTGATTGATTCTCAACTGCCCTCTGAAAGGCCCTAGCAAGCCATTCAGTTCAAGGGTAATTAGGGATGGACAATAAATGCTGGGCCAGCTAGTGACGCCTACACCCCATGAAAGAAAAAAGAAACTACAAGTGCAGCAGGTTCGGATTATAACCACTCACCCCAGTCATTTGGATGATATCTTCCGACCATTTACAGCTTCTCCAGGCCCCGTTACTTAATCATTACTTGTCCCAAATACCACCTACAATTCCCTTGCTCTATGATCCACTTTTGTCATCTAATCCCTCCTCCTTTACCCCTTTTGCTTTTATTCAGCTCACTTCCACTCACACATTCTCTGGTCCTAGCTGCTGAAAGCCCATTCTGTTCAACAGATATTGGCCATGCACTATTAGCTGTTGGGTTAGGATTCAGATTGTGGTAATGCTGGAGACTGGTGCTGAAGTCAAGGATTTAAATGACACCCTGTGAGCACCATGTTTGGAGTTCTAGTTCACCTCCAGTTTCTGCCAGACCTCATCTTCCAGTAATATTTGCCTGTTTCTTGATTTATTCCTTGTTCTTTTGGATACAGGAGTGATGCCAGGAAGCTGGGTGATAGCTAATGGGATTCAGGTTGTTTTAAGAGATCAGAAACAAGCTGTTGGGAATTATGTTCACCCTGGGAGCTCAGACAGCTCCATCTTTGTCTTAGCATTCCAGACTTCTGCTGAGTCGTCAATGTTGAGCTTTTTTATGTGGTTCATTTAATGAGTCTCTGCTTCATTCTGTGGGCTATTACATACTGCCAACATTCACGATTTTGTTAACAGCATATTAGGACTGTTTTGTTAATGTGCAAAACTCACACAAAAGCCCTCATCTCTTCAAACTGTGCCCGTGAAAATGAGTGCAGCAACATCCAAATAATCAAGGTATGAAAAACATATCAGTATGGCAAGGGTGCCAAAAACCTTGGGTCAACATGATTTCTATTTGACAATGTAGAACATTTTTGAGTTTCCTGGCATTAGCCGGAGGTATAGAGGGATGTTAGAAAAGGCTCGGGAAATCTCCAACCTGCTTCATTTCCCATCTTCAATCTAAATCTTTCCTCTGAGATACAGTTACATGAGGGGCATCTTCCTCCCTCTCTCTCTATCTCTATCTTTCTCTCTCCCTCCCAGCTTCACACAGGATTTAAAATCGAAACTATCCATTAGATAGTCAGGTTACACAGTTAAGGTGAATGGTCACTGGTCAAGTGCAAGTTATTCAATTCTGAAACATTTGTTTAAGTCTGGTAGCTTTATTTTCACCAGTCATCAGTCCTTCAATCTGTGATTATCATACCTTTGTTTATTGATAAATCAGTGCATGTATGTCTCATAGAATCTAAACTAATGCACGGGATCTAAGACAAAGACTGCACTCTTCAGTGACAGTCTGACTAACGCTCAGCTCATTCAACACTTGACTCTCAGTTCAATCCATGATGCATCCCATTAATGCTTTCTTTCTCACGCTTTGCAATATCAGCCACCATGGGAACCAGGATGAAAGGTTGGCTGGTCAACAGTTTGGTAGGAATAAGGTTGAAGGAGTAGATAGCACATTTCATGGACAAGTTGTCCTTGGGAGGAGGTATGAGGGGAAGAGAGGAAGAAAGCGGAGATGTGAGCTCA